AAATATTTAATTTCTTTATTTACTGTATAATTTATTTAATAATGACATCATTAAATTAATAATTGTTTAATTTTTAAATAAGTTTTTGATAAAAAAAAAATTAAAATTTTATTTTTACACAAATAATTCGAAGAAAATATTTATTAGTATATATTTAAAATTGTCAAAAATAATAATATAATATTTTTAAAGGGAGTGGATTGATAAACAAACAATGTAGAGTGTCATGTGGACAAGATGGCGGGAAGGGAGTGGAATGGATTCAGCGAAGAAGAAATCAAAAGAATTCAGATGAACGGCGATTGCATTAATGGCAAGTTACGAACACGTTCATTTGATTAGAATCTATTACATAAGATGAAACCGATGTAAAATTTATATTTAACAAATTAAAAGATCTTAAAATTATCAAAACATCACGTGACTTGAATTATGTCAATTTCCATTTAAATTTTCATTTTTATAATGTGATGGAATATATCACATTTTATAAAGGTTATATTCATTTCAAATTTTATTATATTATATATATATATATATTTTTTTTTTTTATAGAGGTTACAAACGCTACAACACAGCCTAAACCAATTAAGACTCAAGTTAGAAAAGGAATATTAAAGAAAACAAAATATATGAGTGAAAATTTACCAGTTAAAGATGACATTACTCCTAAACAGAGACTGTCAAAGCCTAAAGTGGAGTTTGTCGTGGAAAGTGAAGATTCTGGGAAGAATGAGTTAAATAAGCCATCTATAGAAGATTCTGATTTATCTCAGGATAGTAAATCCACAGAAGAAGGATCTGTTCAAAAACCAAATGTGAAACATGTTACAATTCACGAAGAGAAAAATACTTTCAGGTAAGATAAGTTAGATTATTCTAATTTTCTAAAAATTGTATTTTAATTTGTTCGATTTGCAATTTGTCATAATTTGCTATCATTTATGTTATTTCCTAATGAATATTATTTTNTATTCCTACTTAAAGATTTAATAATTATAATCAAGAAAAAACAATTTAAATATATCATTTTTACAAATATATATTTAATTTTGAATTTATTTACCTCTTAAAACCAGACTTTACATATCTTGACAACTTCTAAGACACTTGAGAAAAAAGTAAACAAAAAAAAAAAAGATAATTGCACGCAGCACGAATGTTTAATTAATCAGCGAATAGCAAAAAAACAGGTTAATTTAAATTAAAGGAACTATAAATAAATGTATAAAGTGGCTGGAATGAACTATATTTTTTTATACCTGTAACATCCAAACACTATATTCTTGAATTTAATCATGACATTTATTGATCAGTTTTCCCGCCAAACTACGATATAGATTTTAGCACTTTTATAAACGAATGACTCATGGTTTGCTCTCGTAGAGAAGGAAGTTACGGAAGTTAAAGCAACTACACTTGATAATTATCGTACATGCATTTAATATTTTAAGATATATCCGTAAAAAGAATGAAGTGAAACTCAAAAAAAACTATAGTTTAACATAATTTTTTTTCAGTTTTTAAATAAATCAAAGAGTTTTGTTCAAGCAATTGTGATAAATATAAATACAGTACAGTATATTTTGCTATATATATAAAAATAAGAAATTAATTTATTATTGTTTTATGGGCATTTTAAAATTTATCGTATGGAAATTTGTCTATAAAATATACGACGTCTCTCGATTTTAAATAACTAAAATCCACTTATCTAGAATAAATACACGAGTGAACTAAATAAATTTTAATTTTATCGAACAAAAATGCTAGTATAGAAAAGGATTTTTTAATTTAATTAAAAAAGGATTGACATATGTCCTCTTTTAACCGGACGTGTCCTCTTTTCGAACGCAAAATATATGTCAAGTTGGATTTTTATAAATTACGTAGATTGGAAATGCATGGATTTTGTTTATATATATATATATAAACAAAATCCATAAAAAAAAAATATATATATATATATATACAGTGGTGCCTCGTACAACGTACTTAATCCGTTCCAGGTGCACGTCCGTTAAGTGAAACGTCCGTTATACGAAACGCATTTTCCCATAGAAATACATGTTAAAACATATAATTCGTTCCGCAGCATAAAATAACCGTACTGTACCATAAAAAATGAAAATGGAGCAGACACCAATTATGCCGGGTAGTCAGATGTTGTGAGGAGGAGGTGGAAGAACACTTTCTTTACACATTCATACAGATACAGACTTTTTACACATTGCAGCGGGTCTTTTTTTATTGTTTTTTAATCGGAGTCAGATTCAGGA